AGAGAGAGAGAGAGAGAGAGAGAGATGATGGATTCTTTTACTTTAAGAGTAAGTTTTCGTATACTTACTCCGTTCAATAATTCATGTTTTATATTAAATTTTAATTATCTAACCGTTCAATTTAAAATTCTTAATACATAGATCAAATTTTCAAATTTTAGAAAATTTGAAAATCATATGATACTTCGTTTTATTAATTCAAATTAATGAAACGAAGTATTAAATGATTTTCAATTTTTTTTAAAATTTGTAGATTTGATATTTACATTAAGAACTTTAAATTCAATTTTTAGATCGTTGGAATTTGATATAGAGCATGAGTTATTGAACAACGTAAGTTTAGGTAGACTTATTTTTAGATTAAACATATCTCTTCTCATATATATATATATATATATGTGTGTGTGTGCCCGCATATAGATATCAATCTAGAGAATTTGGAAAATAATAATCTCTTTAACATGAAATAAACTATAAACATATATATATATATATAATGATTATTTAGAATAACTAGTTTAATATAAATATAGTATGTGTCAAAATCATTAGGATTAATTTAAATTCTACTTTAATTTTTTATCTAATTTTTTGAATTCATTTGGGTCATTTTTATTTTAAGATGTTTATTTTAGTCATCTATCTTTTAAATCTAGGCCAATTTGGTTCTTTTGAAACAGGGACTATTTTTTAATTTTGCAACATGATTTTGTATCCTTTTTCGACTAATTTAAAATTTGAAATTTGTGTCATTAGATTCACTTATATAAAAATTATTGAATACAATTGATGTTCATACCAAAAGTATTTAAAGTTTGGACTCAACTTATTCAAATAATTAAGATTAATTTCAATCTTAAATTTATTTATTTAATTAAACAAATAAATTTCAATAAATAATTGACAAGCCGAGGCCAAATAATGCAGAAACAGCTTGACACATTTACACTGTAAAAAAAATTGTTCCACCTTAAATAAAAGAAATATTAGTAATTAATAAATCATCAATTCGTTATTATTATAAAGTTTAAAGAATATTTAATCATAAAGAAAGATTATATTACTTTAGACTTGCGTCTAACTTTAATCCTATGTTAATCACAATCCAAACTAAAGCTTCCACAGTATTTGGATGTAAAGAAGCTTGGAATGGGTCAATAACTCTTCCACTACCACTAAAACTTGACTATAAGGCCACAATAGAAGTTGGAATGGCAAGAACATTTTCTGCTGTATGTGACTAAACTCGATATTTTTCAATGTTTAACCCAACATTCTAAGGCAATAAAAGCTTGTGTGACCATTAACTTCAGGCTTTTAAGTTGTTTAGTTGCATACTCTTTAGCTTCAAAATTTACAGTAATAAATATTTGTTGATCTTGCACATAATCTATCAACAATGAAGACTCGAAGGAGTTTGCTGACTTAAAATCCCAAATTGATCAATATTAGTTTTAGTGGAGCGCCCTTCCTCCTCATGCTCACTTTAAGAGAAAAATAATAAGATAGCACTAGTTTAATCATAGCAACAAACTCTTTATTATACATATCATTAAGAACATTGTACACCTTTTTTATATATATATTTTTAAGCTCCATTTTTAGGGTACGTAATAATAGAAAAAAAAACACATTTTTAACTTCCATCATTTTGATCGTAGGATCCAAAATAGTAGCAATTGACATAACAAGATTACACTCAATCTAATAGTTGTCAAAACTTTTCTACGTGTATCTAGAATAATCATTGACGATGACAAGTTCATACTTTTTACACATAGCATAAATGAGAATCCATATATCCTAAAAAGAAGTAGGGATAGCAAAAAAATTTGTATCGTAGATATTTATAGATAGTATTCAGCACATATAATAAATGGACAAATAGATACCTACAGGTAACGAGTATATCTATTCTTTTATCCGTTTTTAAATAAGATGAGGGTAGATATTGTAACTATAGTATCTATATGTGCGAACACACGTTATGTAAAATTACTTAAATATTCGTATGATTAACTTATATTTTTAATATTTCAATAAAATTGATGTTAATGCAAGTTCAAAAATTAATGTCAACTAGATTTTGAATGGTATATTGTTCTAGTGTATGAATAAATATATACATGTTATAATTTGAAAGTACTAGAGATATTTAAAAATTAAAAATAAACATTCAATATTAAAATTAAATGATTGTAGAAAAGTTACTAAATTCATAGTTAAAAATATATTTATTAATCAAAATCATATTAATTATACAAATTGTTTTTTAATTATATTCATATATGATATAATTTAGAATTTATGTAATGAATGAAAAATTATCTGAAATTGAAATATATAGATAAATTATGTATGAGTTTTTCAAATTTAAATATATTTTAAAAGTATACATTTAATCAATATTTTGAATTTATTCATTAATTTAAATATAGGTGTATCGGTATCAAATATTGAAGAAAATGACAATAAAATTAAAATTTATATTGAATATTTTAATT